GAGCCAGAGGGGGCAAGGACACTGGGAGAGCACAACCCTATGAATCAACTAAGCAGAAATCATGGGGACTCACCGAGTGTATTAGTCAGGATTCTCTAGAGTCACAGAACTTATGGACAGTCTCTATATAGAAAGGGAATTTGATAATGACTTACAGTCTGTAGTCCAGCTCCCCAACAGTGGTCAGCAGCAGCTGGGAATGAGAGATCTAGCAGTTGCTCAGTCCCACAAGGCAAGCAGGCAAAGAAGAACAAATCTTCCTTCTTCTAATGTCCTTATGTAGGCCCAGATTAAAGGTGTGTACTACCACGTCTGGATCTGGGACTTGTTTTGTCCCAGGATGACCTTGAACTCAGAGATCTCCTTGCCTTAGTCTCCTGGGATTCATAGCCACTATGCTTCAAGATCTCCATGCCAAGATCCAGGTCAGAAACTTGATCTCCCAGCCTCAAGATCACAGGTGAGCCCTCCAATTCTGGACTGAAGTTCATTCCAGAAACAGTCAAGTAGACATCCAGGAATAGCCACTACACCAAGACTAAAGAGGCAATCAATCACAGCCTGCATGGGTCTGCCCTAGGTCCTCAGCAAATGTTATGGTTGTCGGCTTGATGTTTCAGGGGTGACTCCCGGCAGTGGAAGTGTGGTTGTGTCTGAGCACTTTGCCTGCTTTTGGGAGGAGCTTTTTCTTCCTCACCCAGCCTTAATGTGAGGGTTTGTGCCTGGTCTTCCTGAGTTCGGTTGATGTCCTTGGGTCCTGTTTTTTTCTTGGTGGAAGACAGAAGTAGGGGAATGGATCTGGGGAACAGAGGAGGTGAAGGTAGGAAGCTTTGATTGGGATGAATTTTATGAGAAAAAAATAAATAAAAATTTTAAAAAATGCATTCTTCAGAATAAGAATTTCCAGAAAAATGATATCTCAATATATGAATTGGGGTGGAAGACACCAGTACACAGACAGTGGCAATCAGTAATCTCCCAGTTCATACAGTACCTGGTCTAATGAGTTTGCTTACTTGTGCACTTAACAAAAACATTTAGGGTACAAAGTACACCAATTCTCTCAAGTCTCTTCCAGAAGTTAGCAGAAGTAAGGGACCGTGTCTCTACTCATTTTCTTATGCCTGCATCATCTCACACCAAACCAAGTAAGGACATTATTTTAAAAAAATCCACAGAACAGTATCTGCCATGAGCATACATGTGGTGATCCATGACAGAATTTGCCAAAGTAAGAAACAGGCTAGAACTTAGTAGTAAAGTGCTGGCAGCACAAGCGAAGACCCTAGATTTGAGCCGTGTGTATCACAATGCCTGTTGGTAAGTGCAGTACTTGAGAATGAGGTCAGAGAATTCATAGATTCAAGGACAGGCTTTATCTCATAAAAACCAGCACCACGCACACAATGAGTGAACAATGGAGTCTAACCATGCACACATACAGGTACACGTGCACACACACATGCACACACATACATACATACACACACAAACACACACACACACACACACACACACACACACACACACACACGAGAATTATACGACATGACAAAGTGTGATTTATTCCAGGTTTGGTAAACTGGTTTAACATGTAAGAGACATTGTGCTGGGCAGCGGTGGCAGAGGCAGAGTTCAAGCCTAGCCTGGGCTACAGAGTAAGTTCCAGGACAGCTAGGACACAGAGAAACCCTGTCACCAAAACCAAACCAAACCAAGCAAGCAAACAAACAAACAAAAACATTTAAAAAAAAATGTAAAGATGGCTTGGTGGTCAAAAGCACACACTGCTGCCTTCTGAGAACTGGAGCTCGGATCCCAGCACCTACACATCACGCGGGCCACAACCACCTGGAGCTTTAGCTCTGCCTCCTATGCTTCAGAAAAAGAAGTGCCAATAACGCGAGGTAACTGATCAGGCCTACACCATGAGCTTCCTTTAAAATCCTTGATCAGCTAGCTGGAGGTTTCTGGAGATGCCTGCAGAGTATCACATCCCAGAGAGGACACAGAGACTCTGCACCGCCCTCTGCCCACTTTGCCCCATGTGTCCCTTCCATTTGGTTGGTTATCTGTGACTTTTGTAATATTTTTTAAATTGTGTGTTTCTACATGGAATGTATGCATGACAGCTGGTACCCGTGGGGCCAGACAAGGATGTAGGTTTCTGTGGCGCTCGTTACAGATAGTCATGAGCTGTTGGACGTGGGTGCTGGGAACTGAACTCTCTCTAGTTCCCTGTGATATACTTTTGCTTGTTAAGAGTCTCGCTAAGAAGGCACTAGCTGGCTTTGAACTGTTAGAATTATAGGCATGTACCATCAAAGCTGTCAGTGTAATATCCTTTCTAATAAGCAGGTGATGGTGAGTAGAGTGTCCCTTAGAAATTACCAAACCTAGACACCCTGATTTACAGCCTGTTGGTCACAATGCACAGGCCACAACTTGGGACTTGTCGTTGGTATATGAACTGTGACACAGAACACATAAACTAGTTTTGGTGGTTGTTCTTCATCTGGTGGCCAGCACTGAAGGAGTGGAGGGATAAAACAGAGGTCCATGGATTGGTAGAAAAATAGAGGATTTGTCATCACATGGGTTAATTGTCCCTTTGTGTGTGTGTGTGTGTGTGCTTGTGTCTGTGGTCCTGTGTGAATGGGTGTGTGCACATGTGTAGCACAGCAGAGGTGGACACTGGGTGTCTGATTGATTCACCTTTCTGAGGCATGGTCTTTCTCTCTCTCTGAATTTAGGATTTGCTGACTTGGCTACACTGCTTGCAGATATGCTGGAGGGGGTGGGATGGTATATGCCTTTAATCCCTGCACTAGGGAGGTAGAAACAGATAGAGTTTGAGGCCAGCCTGGTCTACAAGGTGAGTTCCAGAACAGCCAGGACTACATAGAGAAAGTCTGGTTTGGAAAAACAAAACAAAAAACCAAGCTCCGGAGACCCTCTTACTGTCTTGTCTTTGCCTGCCAGCCCTGTGCTGAGAGGAGGAGGCCTCGCCTGGCTTTACATGGGTGGTGGGGATCTCAGTTCTTCACATCTGAGTACTTTACTGAGTCACCTCCCCTGCCTCTGGAGCCTGGTATCTTCATCTTGGACTGAGGCTTAACGCGCTTCTTGCGCGAGTTGTTGTGTAAGAACTGCTTTTCGGTATCCCCTTCCCACAACTGATGGACAGTGGATGACAACAACCGAGATGCTCTCTCAGATGTGGCGGTGTCAAGGCTCTCTCTAGCAGTAGTGGGTCTCTGGCTTAGTGGGCATGAGGACGCACTGGCAGCACCCACCATGTCAGAGCACAAGAGTTCACTGCAGACAAGTGAGCTTATCCGGCAGTGCAGTGGCTCCAGAGGTGGCTTCTGTGGAACCTACTCTAGCTTCCCTAAGAACTGTGTCAGAAACTGACCTATAGCCTTTCTCTATTCAAACCAGCTGTAGAAGTTTCTAGAATGGTCACCTTCCTGATTTGGCAATGACTTTCAAGGTAAGTGCTATGTAGCTGCTCCTTCCTTGTTGAAATCCCTCTCCAGGCTCAAAAGACTCAGGAATCTTGAGGATCCGGAAGCTCAGAAAGTCACAGGGTTGTCAAGGCCCAGCCACACTTTATACATATGGTCAACAGTTTCAGGAGAGGAATCTAGAGTGGAACTGGCTGCAAGACCCATCATGCTCCAGCAGCTTTCCAGAGTGCTCACCCGTGCTAGAATGGCCTTTTTGGTGACACAGCTGGATTTGAGTAACCAAACTCTTGGAAGTAACTCCAGTCAGTCACTGGCTCACTAGCCAGACTTGAATGGAATTTTTCTCTTTGGCCTGTTGTAGATGCTAACATCTATATCTGGAGTATAAAATTACTCAACAGTAACAATTCATTGCCACAGTGTGCACTAGAACCTGGCCTTTTGCTGCAAACTGGGTCTAAGTCTTTTCTCTTTTCTCTCCTAGACTGACTTGTAAGAAACCCTGCAAGAACAGGGGTGCCCCCACCCAAAAAAGTCCTTTCCCCAGAACAACTGAGACCCAAGGTTATCCTCACTCAGCACTAACCAGATCTGCTTCAGCACGTCCTGCTGGGGTCTTTTCAGAGGTGAGGGCTGGGGACTGTGGCTACTGCAGGCTCTGCTGAGTGTGGCAATGGTGGACTGCCATGGGTGACAAACTCCCACCCCCTCCCAGCCTGACCTCACTGAACTACCTCAGATGGCTGACTTCCTCAGCTGTGGGGAGGACCTGCAGAAATGCTTCAAGGATGACATGAGGTAATGTGTGTGGAAAATACCAGCCTGTTGCCTGGCAACAGTGACAGCCTCCATGTATCTGCATCTTCTGTGTCTTGCACATTTGGAGAAAGGAGCTGGAAAACTTCTCCAGTTCTTTTCTTGTTTGTTTGTTTTTGAGACAGGGATTCTCTGTGTAGCTCTGACTGTCCTAGAATTCAATCTGTAGGCCAGGCTGGCCTCAAGCCCAGCAATCAATCCACCTGCCTCTGCCTTCCAAGTGTTGGTAGTATAGGCATGAACCTCCACCACCTGCCTGAGAACAAGTTCTTATCTGAGATTCCTAAGCACAGTCTGGGTTTGCTAAGGGCTGCCATTAAAAGCTAGGTTTTGGGGGTTGTTTTGAACCAGATCATGTGGGCCCTCCATCTACTCAAAACTGAACCTTACTGGCATAGTACAGTTAGGTCCAACCAGGTCTCACCAAGCAGAGGCTATCTAGTCACCCCTACACCAGGCTGCTAGCTTATGGTCCGAGCTAAGCTGGGGCAGAGCTGGGAGAACCAACCTCAAGCTCCAGCCTTCAGGAGAAGTTGCACAGTGATCTTGGGCCACAGGTCAGACCCTGTGAGGAACATATTTTTCAGACTATGCGAGCAGAAATTTTGGAGGTCTGCAGTACTAAGATTAGTCTGGATCTTTCTGGGGGCTTGTAACCCAATCCCAATAAGTCTGCTCCTAACAAGGGTCCAAAAGAAAACAAGTGAGGAGGGATTGTCAGTGAGTGGGACTTTATGGGGCAGGAGCTACAAGAATATGCTCCTTTGACAGGCACCAGCCACAAGCACAGTCCCACTTGGCATCACTCAGTGGGCTGCTAGCCCACGGAGGTAGTCCCCTACCAGGGGCAGCACGGCCCAGTCATCAGTTCTTAGAGCCACAGGCACACCATCCACTTGAGCTTTCTCCAGGCGCAGCAGCAGCATGGAGGCAGGGGGCAGGCGGACAGCTACGAGGTAGGTAGTAGGGGGCTGAGCCACGACTACAAAGGGCTCTAGGTGTTGGGACACCAAGGCCTCCAGGCCCTGTGGCCCGAGTGGACACCACACACGACTTTCTACACCCTTTGGCAGGCAGGAGTTCCACAACTCATCAAAGAAAGGCAACTCAGAGCCCTTAGGGAGCTCAGGAAAAGGCAGGAAGAGGTCAGCAAAGGTCACAGGCAGGGCTGGCAGGTGGGCATGGCATGTGAGGCCAGCCGGTGTGCTGTATAGGGCCCGGACGTGTAGGTGGGCAGGGGCTGGGCATCGGGGCTGCAAGGGCAGGTACAGAGGATGGGCAGGTTGTCCCGGACGCAAGCAGGGAATACGGACAGCCTCCAGAGGCTCGTAGAGCTGTCCCTCCACACGGAAGCGCAGCTCCAGAGAGTAGACAGGAGCACCCAGTGCCTGCACCTGCAGATGCAGCACCGGGAGTGGGCCCTTGGCCTTCTGAGGCCCCACACTCAACTGAATTGGAGCTGAGGTCTCCTGCACCATCAGAGCTGACGCAAAGCCCTGGTTCTCAGTCATCAATGATGAGGCCAGTGCAGGTGCAGCCAGTGAGGGGCCCAGCGCCATCCCTAACTTGGAACTTGACAGATGGGACAAGAGGACATAGTACAGTCGGGCATGGTCCCGGCCATCAGCATTCTCCAGTTGTCTGGCCAGTTTCTGCAGCAAGTCTGCCAGGCCATCCCCCCCGCCCGTCCGAAGCAGAGCACGACACGCTCGCAGTAGGGCCTGCTGTAGGCCCCAGTCAGTGCAGTGTACAGCTGCAGCCTGTAGAAAGGTGAGGGTGGCACTCTGAGCGGCTCCCTCTGCCACCTTCGCCAGCATCTGCAGGTGCCAGCAAAGTGCTTCGTTCTTGCCTGGCCTGGCTACCACCTCCTGGAGCAGCATCTCCCTGAGGGGCTCTCTCAGCTCAGGGTTTACCTGATCTAAGAGGTCCACAAAGTGGGGAGCCAGGGAAGGCCGAGCTCGGTACAGCTGGGCCAGTCCATGGATCAAAGATGTCTGTACTGTGGGTCGTCTAGTTAGGCAGCTGGTAACAAGGTATGAGGCCTGGAAACAGAGAGTGGCCAAGGCTCGGGGACCACCGTCCAGGGCTGCCCTTTGCTGTAGGCCAGCCAGCAGCTCCTGCAGGAACCACTGTGGGCCCTGAAGCTGGCCTTTCTCCTCTTCCTCATCATCAGCACAAAGTAACAGCAAATGCAGGCGGGCCAGGAGGACCATTGGGTCATGAAGGAGACTGGGCATGAGGCCCCGGCAGAGCTGGGGCCCCAACAGCAATGGGGCAGCCTCTTCCCCTTCTGGACCTAGTGGACAGTTCTCAGGGAAGCTCAGGATGCAATGCAGGTAAAAGAGGTGTGTGGGCGAGGGTAAGGCTGGGTGCTGGGCTACCAAGGTGAGCCTGCGGAGCAGCAGAACCTCATCTTGAGCAGTGAACAGGGCCTCACCGAAGGCCGCCTTCAGAGAGAGAACTGAGTGTAACAGTGTCAGCTGGGCTGTGCCCAGCAGCCGAACTAGCTGTGGCTTGAAAAGCACTGGTGGCTGTCCCCGAAGACCCCGAAGGGCCCAGCCCAACAGCCACAGAAGTTGAGCCTGAGACACGGGAGTGAGCAGATAGGAAGTGTCCAGAAGCTGGGCCACTGCAGCCTTCAGCTCTCGGGTGTCCTCAGGGCTGGGCTCTAGAACTGGAAAGCCACGCTCCTCCCCTCCAGCTGTGGGCCAGCTGGGTGCCTGGGGCTTAAGATGGACATCCCATTCTTCAGCCATCGTCCAGTCCCAGGGACAACTCCCAGTGGAGGAGTCCTCAGCCACGAGCCGGCCTTGCAGGCCAGCCCCAGACCTGGACCGTACCACTAAGGTGTTGTGCAGAACAAGGGCCAGAAGCAGGCTGACTGGCTGGATGGGACCCATTTGCCCTTGGAGGCTCCGCAGCATCCCCAGGGCGCTGGCCAGCAGCCCAGGCTTACAGCACTCAAGTTCTCGAAGGCATTCACACGCTGTGGCCTGTAGATGGCGCTGTTCTGAGGCGGTTCCAAAGCTTCGTCCCAAGTCTCGGCCGGAAGCTAAGCCAAGAAGTAAGGGCAGGAGCCGGCAGGAAGCTCCCGAAGTGCGTCCAAGAGCACCTCCTGACACCAGGGCTGTGGTGGCTGCCAACAACAGGAGCCTCCGGAGAGCTGAAGGTCTTGAGGGCAGGAGGACAAGCGTGTCCAACAAGGAGGTGGCAGCAGCCTCTGCGGCAGGTGCATCAGGCCAAAGTTTGTCAGAGTATTCCAAGCTCAGGGTCAGTAAGGAAACCTGAGATTTAAGAGGAACTCATTCAGTTCAGCATGCAGTCGTATGAAGCAGCCATGTGGACCATGGCAGGGCACACGGAGAGGACCTACCTTGGTCTGCTCGCTTAGCTTTTCACTCCTTAGGTCACTCAACAGGTCGCGACCCAAATCCTCACCTTCGGCACCTGTCAGAAAGGCGGATGGGCTGGCTCGGAAAGCCCCCAGGCGCTGGGCCCAGGCTTCTCGACTCAGGGGCCCCATGGTCAGTCAGTCATCCACGTCTCTGCAAAGGCAAGGAGCGTCAGACACGGGGGCGAGGACGCGCAAGCCTTTGCGGCCGCTAGAGGGCGCCCTGCTCCTCCACCTTCCCTGGGGCTGCTGTCACCCCAGGGCCGTCTTGCAGACCCCAGCAGAGACCCCCGATGCCTAGGTCCCAAGATGAAATCTGGAGGCTTTGGAGATGATCCCGGAAGCAACAGCCCAGGCGCCTGCAGGATAGGACCCGCAGCGATCGGGGTGGGGTGCCCGGGAGGTGCGTGCAGAGAGCTCATTAAACCTCCCGCCTACGAAGGGCATCGAAACCACAGCGTCGCTCGGGCCCCTGGCGCCCGTGGTAACGGGTCGGCCTATCTCACCGCTTGAGTCAGCTGCCGCGGGCGCTCGGTCGGCTCCTTCCGGGCTGGCAGGCTGGCGGCGCGGGGCGGGGCGGGGCGCGCGGCGCGTGGGCGGCCGGGCCGGGCCCAGGGGCGGGGCGTAACGGAGTCTCGCCTGCCACGCCCGCCAGGCCGGCAGGTGCCGACTCGCCGGTTTCGCCAGGTCTGAGTAACTGTCTCGCCGTGCAGGCCCCCTGCCCCGAAACCGCCGCAGGCACGGGCAGGGGCGGAGTTTGGTGGGCCGGGCTCCCGGTCCGCTCCCCGGTGGAACTGCGCTCCCAGGCCCTGGAGCAGAACAGCGGCTTGGGCAGATCGGGAAGACGGCCAGCGCGTCCGGCAGTCGTTCCGCCCCGGCCCGGGTAGCCGCGCTACGGCCCGGCTGCCTGAGTGCGGGTCTACGGGCGGCCGCTGGGAGGCGCGCGAGGCGCAGTCCCAGGGCAGAGCAGGAAGAGCCAGGCGTGGGTCACGGCGGGACCGGTCGGACCGGCGCCGCAGGGCTTGGCTTGGCGTCCTCAACGCTGACCGGGCGTCGGGGGGGACACCTCGCTTTGCTTGGGAGCGAGGAGCCGGCGCCAGGGTCGCAGCCGGATAGTAGCTGCTGACCTTTGCCCGAAGTCTCACGGATTGCCAACAGGGGTCGGGCGGGCTAAAGTACAGCGAGCGGGGCGGGGCCTTAAGAGGCCGCGGAAGCCGAAAAACAACGGGATTCTGACTCTGGATGTGCGTGTTGTCGGGGCCTGGAGGGTCACTCAGCTCCTAACACACCTGATATGAACTGAGAAACCAAGGCTTCAGAAGACAACGACCGGGCTGCCAGAGACCTGGGGCCAAGTAGTACACACTGCCTACCGGAGTCCAGTCCTGTGGCTCAGGGTCTCAGGTGCCCACTGGCCCGCTAGTTTCAGGGGTACAGAACTTCTGGAGTCCACATCCCACGCTCCCCGTCGTATAAAGCCTCCTGCTACCCTTTCTCAAGACGAAACACCTGAGTTCCCATTGCTAGCCTCTGGCTATTTGTCTTTCTCTGTTTTGGTTGTCCAAGTTCCTCCCTACCCACTATCCTGACCTGGCTGCAGATGAGAGTGGGAAGGTAGAGTCCTACAAAGAAGAGTGCCTGGGCCCCCAGAACAGGGGTAGAAGAAGAAAGAGGATGGAGACGGCGCAGGGAGGGGGGTGCAAGTAGGGCAAGACCAGCTAGAAGACCTGGTCTTGGCTCCTCTGGGCTCTGGCTCCATAGCTGACTCACAGGCGACAGCTCTAAACCACTTCCCTCTAGGTACCTCAGTTTCCCCATCCATAAATTGGGAGTGATGACTCCTGTTGAAGAAGCTTTGGGGTGGGGCGCCTGGCTAATTAGGCCCAAGATGAAAGAGGCCAGGGTGAGAGCAGCTCTGGGCGGCCAGGCAGGTTTACAGTAGGAGCCCGTCTGGTTGCCCTGTCTGAGGCCCAGAGGGGGCTGATAACTGCAGGTCTGATCTCCCGGCTCTCCGAGAGCCAGAAAGGATTATTAAATCCTGTTACAGTTGAGGAGAGAGGCTTCCAGGGGTCAGGGAGTCCAACTCTGGCCGCGTCCCAAGCTTCTGATGGTGTAGCCTCTGCCAGCCTCCAGCCTCCCTGGGCTTTGGTTCTTTGAGGTGGCATGTGTGGTTTCCAGAACTGTGATGGATGTATCTTGCTGAACTCACCAGGGCTCATGGCCAACCCTGGGCACTGAGGGTGGATACCTGTCTCACATGTACTTTCAGGAGCCCAGAGAAGGCAGAGTCATTTGCACAAAGCCCCACAGCCTCTTGTAAGTAGGACTAGGCTCCTGCTACATGCTCCATCTGCTGCCCTCACTGCTCCTGATGTCCAAGTCCCTGAACGGGCTCTATTCTCATCTGCCTGCCCAAGTGTCTTCTGATGAGAAGCAATGTTTGCTTTGTCCTGGCAACAGATGGGGCAGAAAAGAAGTGCCCTCAGCTCCTTGCCAGGCCCTCATGAAAGAGTGACCTGTTTGATGTAAGGACACAGGCATTTCTCTCACCTCTCCTCTTCTACATTTCCGCCCCTCTCCATGCAGCTGAGTTCTTGGGGAACCCTAGACATTATGCTGAAAAAAGGAAAAGTTAATCCTTGAGGGGCCCTGGGCCTTGACTTTCTTATCTGTAAAAATGGGGCCTACAACAACCCCATCCCCATAGCATTGGATGCTGTGGATACAAGGATGCTTCATAATAGGAGTCCGTGGGCCAAACAAACATAGGAGTACCAGGGCAGGGGCTGGGAATGGAGGGCCCCTGCCAATGGACGTAGTGTTCTTTTGCAGTCATGAGAACTGTGCTGGCTAGTTTTATATCAACTTGCTGGAGTTAGGAACCTCGGCTGAGAAAATGCCTCCATAAGATCTGGCTGTAAGGCGTTTTCTTACCTAGTAACTGATGTTGGAGGGCCCAGGCCCTGTGTGTGGTACCACTCCTGGGCTCTAGAAGAAAGCAGGATGAGCAAGCCATGAGGAACAAGCTGGTAAGCAGCACCCTCCATGGCCTCTGCAGCAGCTCCTGCTTCCAGGTGTCTGCTCTGGCTTATTTCAGTGATGTGGAGGTGTGACATTTTATGTTTGCTGTTGTCTTCCCATCAGTACTAGGTTTTCTAGGAAATTGGTTATTTATTATTGGCTTTACATCCCAATCACAGCTCCCCCCTTCCTGGTCAACCTGTTTGTTTTTATCTTTTATTGTTGCATGTGTGCATGCATATGTCAAGTGTGCATGTCTGTGGAGACCAAGAATTAAAGTCATGTGTCTTCTTCAATTGCTCTCCACACATCTTTTCCTTGCCCTTCCTCTCTCCCCTTCCCTCCCCCTCTTCTTTCCTTCCTTCCTTTCTTTATGTCTCTCTCTTGACTGGGCCTATTACTGAACCTGGAGCTTATTGATTTGCCTAGCCTGGCTGAGCTCCCAGAATCCTCGTTTCTGCTTCCCTAGCACTAAGATCATAGACGTTCACGACCACACTCAGCTTCTGTGTGGGTGCTGGGGTGTTCAAACGAGGGTCCTCGTATTTATGCAGCAAGCACTTCACTGACAGCCATCTCCCTAGCCCCAAGGGACCCTATTTACCCTCATTATATAGATCAGGCTAGCCTGAAACAGTGACCCACCTCTGCATCCTGAGTGCTGTGATTAAAGGTGGACAGCACCATGGCTGGCCCAACTAATACCATTTTTAATTCATCCTCACAAAATGTTTAGTTTGGGGGATTTTAGTCTTCAGGGTATTATACAATCATCACTCCTAAGTTCAGAATATTTTTGTCTTAGTTTAAGTTGTTATTGCTATGATGAAACACCGTGACAAAAAAGCAAGTTGGGGAGGAATGGATTTATTTGGTTTACACCTCCACATCACTGAAAAGTCAGAGCAGGAACCTAGTGGTAGAGGTGACAACGAGGACAAGAATTTAGCTAGGGCATCAGCTCCAGGAAGAAGGGACATTTGTCAGAAGACTGAATGGGAGGTAGCCAGCTCCCAGTTGCAGAAGAGGCTAAGCTGAAAAGAGCCGGTGGAGAGCTTGGGTGGAGGAGGGCAGTGAGCACACAGGGAGCTTGGGGATGCAGCGGTCCTCAGCACCAGAGCATCGGCCTGGGGATGTGCTCTCTATTGAAGGGAGACATGGTTGGGGACATGGGTTTTCACAATATCTATGGCTGGTTGTGGACCAGGTGAAGTATGGCAGGGGCTTGACCTGTGTGGCAACTAGGGGACAAGGGGTTGGAGGAGAGAGAAGCAGTGGCTTGGGGCTGTGGGCTGTGGCACTTGGAGGTGGATAGCTCCAACGTCAGACAGGAAGAACGTGGACACTGAGCTGGGACCCATGGCTCCCGGGGTGGAGTCTTACCCCATGGTTCCTGCCAAGAAAAAACAGCTCCACTCCACAGACCATGGCTTAAGCCATCTCCTCTGCCTATGGCCCCCGGGCATTTTGCCATATGGCTGGGGTGGCCCCCTGGCAGTCAGCTGGGCAGACCCAGGTCAAAACTCCCTAAATGGAGGAGTCAGTGTCATCTATAGCACTTCACAGGTTATTCGGGGGCTTTACATCTTCTATGGGCCTATTAGCAAACTGGACTGGAAAGGCGGCTGCTGGGCAGGGTGTGGTGGCACAGGCTAGTAATCCCAGCACTTGGGAGATGGAGGAACCGAAGTTCAACAGCATCCTCACCCACATGAGTTAGGGGCCAACCTGGACTATGACACCTGTCTCAGCTGAGGGGGTGCAGGGGAGCCACTCAAGTGGCTGGCAAAGGAGCCCACTGGCCTGCTGTGAGGGGCTGTGTCTACTGCAGGGCTGCCATGCTCCAACGCAAGTCAGACTCTCTTAACTCCCAAAGTCAGAGCTCGACCTAGGAGCCCATTGTTATGGCTAGGGAAACTGAGGCCCTGAGTGGGTGGGTGCCTTGGCCAAGGTCCACAGGCACCAACTGCAGCCAGATGCTTTTCTGTGTCATCTTAGCATGTATCTCCCATGATGCTTTGTGCTTTAAAACTCCAGGTTCACACCCCCTTCCCTGTCTCCATCCCATCCTGTCTTCTCATAAGGACTTCCACGAGAACAGGAAGGGTAATCCTAAACACTTTCCAATGCCAGTCCTAACACCCCAGGCTCCTTGGGATGAGAATTGAGCACCATCAGAAAGCATGCAGGGGGCATTCTGGTCCTTGCCTGCTGTGGCTCCTCTTCCCTTCAGCCTCTTGTCCTCCATACCAGCAGGTGACATCATCCAAGACACATGATTCATGGCTTGGTTCTCCCTGTGACTCAACCCACCATCTCTTACTTGGACCATCACAGTAGTTCCAACACAACACTGGTCTCTTTACGGCCACCTCCTTGCCCCTGCTCCACTCTGCGCATCACACAGGTCCTGCCACGGCCCCGTCTTCAGCTTCCTCCCTCTCAGCATCCAGACACCATGGCTGCTGGGGGCTTGGTGCACACTCTAGCTTAGTTCTCTATCATGAGCTGTGGCCCTGGCTTTTCCTTCCGCTCATGCTCTTTGCCACGTTGTCCTGCTGGCTCCCACCTCTCATCCAGACTTCAGCAAGCCCACCTGCCACCATCCTGCCACCACCTGTCACCCTAGTTAATCCTTTCATAGTCCCTAGTGGACACTCAAGGAATACCTGGGAGATAAGTTAAGAGATAGGAGTGGATGGTGTTTAGCAAATGGCGACAGAGCAGAAGTGTCTCCCCACAGCGCTCATACCTTGTCATCTATCTCCAGGGTGCCAACAATCCACAGCTCACACACACAGGCAACCTGTGGGTCAAATCTAACCCAAAAGAATGTTTTGTTTGACCTATTATTCTATGGGCTAGCATATGGCTCAATGGGAACATGTTTGCTGAGCAAGCAGGAGGACCTGAGTTCAGATCCCGGCATCCGTGTGTACCTGTAAACTCTGAGCTGTGGGATGGAGACAGGCAGATCCCTGGAGCTCATTGCTCAGCCAGTGTAGTTAGAACTGTGGGTTCTAGGTCCAATGAGACACCATCTTTTTTTCTTGCTTCTTTCCTTTCTTCTTTGAGACAGGGTCTCACTATATAGACCAGGCTGGCCTCGAAATCAGAGCTACACTCAGTGGCTCTGCCTCCCAAGTGCTGGGATTAAAGGCATGTACCACCCTCACCTCCCCAACCCTGACATTGTCTTAAAAAAAAAAAAAACTTAGATGAAATAGCTGTAGAGATGGCTCACCAGTCAAGAGCACTTGTCGCTAGCACATCCAGAGGACCTGAGGTCGATTCCCAGTGCTCACATGGCTGCTCACCCCGTGTACGACTGACTCTACTCCCACTGCATTTGATGCCCACTTCTGTCTCCTCAAGAACCAGGAATGCATGTGATACACAGACATGTATGCAGGCAAAACACTCACACATATAAATAAAAATGTAATGACCATCCATCCATTCATTCATTCATTCATTCCATAAACATGGATCACTCACTGGAGTCGCAGCAACAGACAGACAGCACAGACCAAGAGCCCCTTCCTTTCCTGGACCTTGCTCTGTTCACTATGACTCTCTGGACCTCCAGAGTCACTGGATTGGCTGGCATCACCCATTTTAATTCCCCACCTGACTTTCTGGACATTCAAACTGCTCTCTGGTTAAAAAAGGGGGGGCTGGCTTTGTGTCCAGGGCTGCTTAAGACTTCACCATAGACTCTTCTGGGCACTCACCAGGACCAGCCCACCATAAGACTTCACACAAAGGAGCTCAAGAAATACTATGTAAAACCAGCACTCAGGAGGCTGAGGCAGGTAGATCTCTGTGAGTTCAAGGCCAGCCTAGTCTACAGAGGGTTCCAGGGCAGACAGACAGGGCTACACAGAAAGACTCTGTGTCAAAAATAGTAAGTAATAGGTTTCACTGAGGGGAGAAGAAAGTCAGACAGACTGAAATAAGTAAGCCAAGCTGGAAACACACACCTTTTATCCCAGCCCTCCGGAGGCAGAGGCAGGTGGATTTTTGAGTTTAAGGCCACCCTGGTTTACAGAGCTAATTTCAGGACAGCCAGGGCTACACAGAGGAAACCCTGTCTCACAAAAGAAAAAAAAAAAAAAAACCAAGTTCAGCTGCCTCCCAGACAATCTGTGTTGATACCCCAGATTTATTGCTAAAGATAAGCATACAGTAGGTGCTCAGCTAATGCTAGTTGCCAATCGAGGTCCAAAATCAAAGTGAAAGGGGGATATGGGAAATGTGGACTATGACAGACAGCTCTCCAGGGACAGCAAGGGGAAGTAGCAAACCTTAATGGCTCAGAAGAAGTGTTCTACCACCTTCCCAGTCAACCTGTGAGGTGGGTAATAGAATTCTCCAGGAATAGAGACTTAGGGCCCTTGGTCAAACTCTTCTTGCTCAGTGAGGAGGGGGCTGGTGTCTCTGCAGGGATGCCCCAAACTGTACTCTGTCCTCATCCACCCAGGGGAATTCACAAAAATCCTGGGAGAATGGACAGGGTCTCTGTAAGTACTCTCACTTTTGAAATGCCCTCTGCAAGCCAGTGCTTCAGAGACCGTATTAACAACTTCCCCCACCTTTGAACTACTGTAGTGCATATGTGTGTCAGCATTCACCACCAGTTCCATGGTGTGCCTCGGGTCAGAGAGCAACTTGTGGGATCAGTGTTCTCCCTCTGCTCTGTGGGTCCTGAGAGCTGGACTCAGGTCTTCCCACTTAGTGGCAAGTACCTCCTGAGCCATATCGACAGCCTTTCTTTTAATTCCTTTGTTTCGTTTGAAACAGGATTTCATGATGAAACATGGGCTGGCCTCTCCCTCTCGGTTTTCCTAACTCAGCTTCCCACGTGCTGGGATCGCAAGCATGAACCGTATCCACCTGTGACTCCTGACTTTTGAACTGTGTGAATTCATTTATCAGACTAATTTCCTCCCAGTCTGTTCCGGCAAACATTTAACACTATTTGAGACAGGTGTACTGGAGTCTGGAGTCTAAAATGTTAGCAGCCTTTAACTGTAGGTCCCATCCCTGCCTTTTAATAGGTCAGCCAGGAAAAGAAACCCAGCCACGGCCAAAGTGTTATAGTGAAGTGGCTCACACGAAGGCCACAGAACACTCTCAGGCAGTTCAATGGTGGTGGGGCATTGCTCCAACTAGGCCTGCTGAAGAATACAGCAGGGTGGTTGGGGAGCTGCTTGCTAAACTCCCACCCAGGAAAGACACTGGGTTGCAACAGGCAAAAGAGGACTGCGGCAGCTCTCACTCAGCTGGAGTCCTCATCCTAGAGCCTCTTCCAGATTTTCAGAATCTGAAATCCGGCTGTTTATGACCAGGAGACTTTGGGCAAATACGCCCGCCCATATGCCAAGGTGCTGCCCTCGATTAGATCGGACTCAGGGCAGTTTAAACGCTCTCACAACCGGAAGGCAGGCTCGAGCTTTGGATTTACAGGCGCATCCGAGAGCCTCCCGGTCCACGCGCTCCTCTCGCCTCGCGTGCCTTACCGCAAGAACTCGGTGCCCAGCAAATACCTCTCCGCTGAACCAAGAATTGCTCACCCTGGCTTTGGGGATCCCTGGCCGCTGGGTTCGGGCCCGGACTGCCGGTTCCCGCTCGGCGGCTTTGTGCCTCTCCCGGCGCCCGGGGCGCGCCAGGCTGGGCCCGGGCCTGTCGGGCCAGTTTTATGTCATCGCCCACAGAGCGTGCGAGCGCCGGTGCAAATAACGTTGCCCTCCCCTCCCTTCCCGTGCCAGCTCCCCCGAAACTCTAGTTTGCAAACCTGAGCACGCCGGGCAGGGGAGGTCCGGGGCGGGCCTGGTACTTCTGGGTGTGGGGACCAAATCACGCCCCCCAACCCTGCCTCCGTCGGGCCACCCCGCCCGGGCCGCGAGGCCACCTCACCCGCAGCGGAATGGAAACCGGTTCGACAGGTAACAAATAGGTGGGTTGTCACCGTTATTTCCCAACGCATGCGCCATCGCTCTCTCGGCCACTCCAAGCTAATTAGATCAGATCAACACCCCTACCCCACCCCCGCCCGAGCCACCAACACGCACCGCCGCGAGCCAATAAAGCGTGAACCCGTCCGTCCAGCTCGCACTTGAAGACTTCGCGAGCAGTCGCGGGGACGCCAGTCGAGCTAAAGGACGCTCGCTTAGCGCTTCTCCGATCCCGGTGCACCTGGCTGCGCCCGCTCTACGGACACCGGCGACCTTCGGCGTAGTTGGAAACGCCACGCGTGGTCCCTGGTACGCTCTGTCCTCAGAACGTGGATACGCCTCGGCGACTCTTTCCCTGAACTGTCCCTGTTCCCTCGCCTCAACTCCGATCCAGTAGAAGAAAAGGTGAGACGACTTACGGGAGCGAACCCCGCCGGGCCAGGAGGAACTGAAGATGCCCCGCGCCTTTCTAGTGAAGAAGCCATGCGTCTCCACGTGCAAGAGGAACTGGAGCGAGCTCCCGGACGAGGAGCGCGGGGAGATCTACGTGCCAGGTGAGGCGCCGCGGGCTCCCGGCGCCGGGAGGGCGGGGCGCACGGACCAGCGGTCGGCGCCGGTCAGTCGAGCGTGGGGACGCAGCTTCTCGCCGCGGGTCGACCCCCGGCGCAGCGCGGGTGGGGGAAGGGGACTCCAAACCGAGGCTCTGCCCGCTCTCAGGCCCGGGTTCTCCTGCCCGCAGCGCGTTACAGGGGACGCAGCGGGGTGTGTCACCGCTCAGGCGACCTCCGGCTCTTGCGTCGTAAATCCAGAAAACCCGGGCTTTCATGAGGCAGGAGAAGAGCACTGGAGCGATGCTACTTTGGAGGGGAGGGCCGGGGAATGGAAAGGAGCGGAGCTGGAGTTTCCGCTGAAACTTGGGCTACATTGTAAAAGAAAACTTGGAGCTTTAGTCCGCCCATAACTTTGGTGGGGTTGAGGTAAGACGATCGAGATTCAGGACCACCGAATTTCCCTGGACTCCTGCCTGACGGTCCAGGAACTGCGGGGAAATAAGCCCAATGCACGTTGCTTGCCCTTGACGTCTCCCACCTCTCTTCAGCCTCGCGGAGGACACTAAGCAAAAGAGCCTGGAGCCGTAAGGTACATACTTACTCCGGGAAGCCGGCGTACCTAGTTTCTTTAGGGAGGACGCCTTGGCAGCACGCAGGTTAACTTAGAACTGAGTAACTGGGGTTGTCTCTTCCTCCAGCAGCATCTTCCTCTGAGACCCTAGAACACTTCTGCCCCTTCTGTCCCAATACAAAACTCCCCCCCACCCTGTCTTGGGGGTGGGGCAGGAGCCTACTGCCCTGCGCCTCCAAGGGGGCGGGAGGTGGGGGGGAAAGGTAGTAATTAACCAACCGACTTTGACCCTTGATCTGCAGGTTCTCTAGCTCCACCCAGGCTTTTAAGAAAATGGGGAAATGAGGGTGGTGAGTGAGGGGCTCTATGTGGGTTCTTGCCTCAATTTCCCTCTTGGAAAGCTGTTAGGTGTAATGATGTTTTGTGCCAGACCTTCCAGGATCCAGTGGCTGGTAGGATGCTTTACAACTTAACTTTACTTAGGGGGCTGTAAGGCTGCTCTGAAGGCTTCTTAAACGAGGGTATGGGCCAAAAGGCCCTAGAATCTCCAGTGTGGAGGGACAGGAGGCAAAAAGGGAAGGGAGCCTCCTCACCTGAGGTGTGGGCTTGGGATTTTGTGATTTCCGCCTGGCTATATGTTCTGGCCAGTGCTCCACCTCCAGCAGGACTGGTGAGGGACACAGCCGCCCCTTGCTCCAGCCTCCTCCCTAGCCTGTGTTTGACTTGCTGCTTAGGTGCTCCCTAGGATCTGATAAACTGAACTTGGACTGTGGTAAAGGTGAGCTTGTCCTGAGCCAGGCCCAGAGTGCTGTTATTTTTAGTTTTACTTCCCATCCCTGTCAGTAACCGATCATATGTTGACTTTTACAAAGGACAGAGCTATTCTGCTAGTTCAAATCATAAGACTTCCCTGGGTTCTAGAGATTTCCCCGTACAGAGCTGAGACACACGAAGACCAGAGACCTGGTCCCACGGCCTGTCCCATTAGGTAGATAGGAGGTCTCTGGGTGGTCACTGCTGTTCTAGTGAGGAGACTTGCAGGTTGGTGCTTCCCCCTCTCAGGCCTGCCCAGGGTGGGAAATAAGCTCTTGTAAGACTCCCTTCACTGCTGAGTCAAGAGGAAGTCCAGTGGGCAGAAGTTACAGGACTCAAATTTCCTTCTGTGTGTCTGTCAGGTGGCCCCCTGGAGCTACCGTTTTCCCCACAGTTTTGGAAATACAGGGAACAGAGCCATTCCGTGCTCGCATGCCTCAGACAGCTGGAGTGCAGGGGTGTGTTTGTCTCCTGGCTGAGCCATTCCACCAGCAGCCAACCATGAACCCAGGAGCTGGCTGGGCACGTTTCTGTCACCCTACCTCAGACTCTTGGAGCATGTTTTGACCAGCTAAGCAATGACCCCATTCCCAGTAGGAGGGCTGGGAATATGGGAGTGTGTGAGTTCTGACCTTCCCTCCAGAGCTCCCTGAGACCCTCAAATCATCATAGAGACCACCTGGAGGGGAAGGCTTACCATATACTAAGGATGCCGGGTTGCTGGGCCTGACTTGGGAAAATAGCCTTCACAGTCCCTTCAACTCTGCTCCCCACACAAGCTTCTAGAGTCTTCTCCCAAGGCAGTTATGGTCATTCCTTCAGCTTTGCTGACAGCTGAGAGCTGATGGCCTGCACCTGAAGGCAGGCACATGAAGTTATGACCCCATTTTCCATAGGAGACAGCACAGTTTAGGGGTTCACTTGGCTCCTCTCCACCCACCACCTCTTCTGGTACAGGACTCTCTATTTGGTTGTGTGTTTACTCTGGTGACAGGGAGGATGGTGGGTTTGTTTTGTTTTGTTTTGTTTTTGTTTTTGTTTTTTGTTTTTTTTGGCTGAAACAGGCCCTTGAGGTTGGAGGTGAATACTATTCCCGAACTATGGAATGATTCGGGGACTTGTCTTGGAGTGGTTCCTCTAAGGCTGGTCCTTGCTGACTGAAGTCACAGTCAAGAAGGGACCTAAGAACAGACTGAGCCTGAAAGCTGGAACTCCAGGAGAATCCCAGGTCCCTCTTTTAAGCTCCAAGTCCCCCACTTCTAAGCCTCCCCTCTGGCTAATAATCTGGCTTGCTGGGCTGTTCTGATTGCACCCGTCCAAAGCTCAGAAGCTAGGCGCGGTGCACACACCTGTAATCGCCTTACTTGGAAGGTGAAAGCGGGAGGATCTGGAGTTCAAAGACAGCCTCAGATACATAACAACCTTGAGGCCAGTCTTGGCTATCTGAGACCCTATCTCAAACAAACAAACAGGCTAAAGCCCAGGCTAGCCAGGCTGAAGTGCAGGAGCCAGGGTTCCTGAAGATAACATGGCCTAGCCTGCCACTGCTGCTAGACAGTGTAGGAACTGGACCACTCCTGTCATTGTTTGAGACAGAGTCTTACTGTGTAGTCCTGGAAGTCACTCTGAAGACCAGGCTGGCCTGGATCCCAAAGATCTACCTTCAAGACAGAGTTTCTCTGTGTAGTCCTGGCTGTCATGGCACTATTTTGTAGACCAGGCTGGCCTTGAACTTAGAGACTTTCCTGCCTCTAACTGCTCTTGCCAGGCTGAGTAGTCAAGCTGAAAAGTCAGCTGTGGGCTGCTACCTCATGTAGCGTTGTAGGTGGGCCAAGCTTCTTTCGGGAGCATTCTAACAACTGCTTAAGGCACTGGGCAGTGAAGAGGTCAGCTAGGTTCTCACTTGTCTTAAGAGACACTGTTACCCAAGATGCTAAGATATTTGCCCAAGCATGGATGTACTAAGGCAGAAGCTGTCAAACTGCCCCAGAAAGGATGGCGGGGACAGTGTTCCAGACTTGTGGGGAAGCGGGAGCACAGCTTAGCCATCATCAGTGTTTGTATCATTGTTCATTTTCAGCACGCAACATATGACAGGCAGGTAGAGCCTGCCCCGTGCTGGCTGACAGGGTGAAGGGATGCCACAGGAAGTACAGTTCTCATCCCATCAGGGCCAGGCCCCTTGTTGTGAGAACCAAGAGTTCAGTCTCACTTCAGCACAGACACTGAATGAAATACAGGCAGCTGGGAAAGGGGGCAAACCCTGCCTGGAGAACGCTGGCATTAAATAGAGGGACCACAAAAGGCTGAGGGACAGACCTGTCCTGGTGCTGCAGCATCTGCAGCTGGCTGCTGCTTGTTCCTTTCAGGTGATTGTTAGCTGACCTGCAGGTCTGAGGGAGCTCAGGGGACCAAGCCCCTCCAGATCAGTGTCCAAGGTAGCCTACAGCAGACCTACAATTAGAACACAGTTGGTCTACATGCACACCCCAGCACCTGCATAATCAGCTGAACCCCGAAAGTTCACGCATCACATATCAGCTTAACTTGATACCCCCAGAAAGCTGGGGGTTCAGGCCCCATGGGCATCCTTGTCTTGAGGCCTTTTATGGGCTAAGACTTGGCAGTCTGCCTGATGTTTGGGCCAGGGGCTGAAAGAAAGCCCTGTGGAGGGTGAGGTAGGAGATGGCCATTGGACAGGCTGCCTTCTCAAATCTGGTCTGCTGCTCCAGGCCGGCTCTGTGACATCTTCCAGGTAAAGGCAACAGGAGAGAACTTACCAGCCCCTGAGGGAGAAGAGAGAGCTAGCTGGGTTGTCCTTGCCACACTCCGTGGCTGTGGGCGGAGGTGATGAGTAGTAGCCACAGTGGTCACTGCCTTGCCGGAAACATCTAATTAGGAGACAGGAGCGCCAGCAACACCCAACCAGTTTTGCCTCTTGCCATTCAGTGATACTCAGGATAGGCGGATAGCACACAAGTGAATACTCCCTGTGCGTGCGGCCATGGTAGAGACACACTTGTGGGGGTGGCAGGGAGACAGGTTTGGTGGGGTGGGTAAGTTGAGGCAAACATCCCCACCCTGGCAGATTTGCTGGCCCTTTGTTCCGGGTAGACACAGCGTGGAGTGCCCAGCCAGCCAGCTCTGTCCTGTCTGCTGTCCTCAGCAGCCTTTCCAGGGTTGTGTGGAAGAACAAAGTTGGGCAGGGGCTACTCCTCTATAGTGGGTACCTCAGACTCCTAACTCAGCTTCCCTTCATAGAACCAAGGAGCCAAGTGTGACAGCTCCCCTCACAGGCTGTCACTCTGCCCTCTGCCGATCCCATTTCCAGTGCACGTGGCTGGGCTAGCTTTCAAAAGTCTCGCCCATACCAACTCAGACTGACAGACTGAGGATGCTAGAAAGGTCCATTTTCTCTACTTGGGTTGAAAAGTAGAAATTATTAGCCGGGCGTGTTAGCCGTGCCTTTAATCCCAGCACCTGGGAGGCAGAAGTAGGCAGATCTCTGTGAGTTCAAGGCCAGCCTGGTCTATAAAGCAAGTGCAAGTCCAGGACACCCAGGCCTATTACAGAGAAACCCTGTCTCAAAACAAGTAAAAAGAAAAAATGGAAACTGTCATCTAGATTTGTACTTTCACCCGGGGTCTGTCTGGTGAGTAGGTATGAGAGCCACTACTCTGAGCCCACTCCACTGGTCCCAGTTCTGGGTGTCACACAGGCCCAGTACAGGCAAGACCCTTCTCTGAAAGCTGGACTCAAAGCTTGAGCCAAACACCAGTCAGCATGGCTCAGAGAGAGGTGGGATGCCAGCTCAGGTGCCAGACCAGGGCCAGGAGCTGGTGAATCAACTCCTGGAATGAGGTGTCTCATTAAGGGGCCCCCCATCCCCCGGACAGACGGACGCCAGCGCTAGAAGAACGGGTTCTGGGCGGCAGGCGGGCGCATTCTTCCTCTGTCAGACCTTTGTTGTGTTTTGAGGGGGCGAGAACCGGGCCTCTCCCGAAACTCAAGTACCTTTATATTTATCTTCCTCCACAGCCCTGGCAGTCCCCCAGAAGAGGTGAGGGCAATAGCAGGGGCCTGGGCCTCGGACCTTACCCTCCCACCCCATTGACATTTCTGGCTTGGTATTCAGAGGGCCTAGTTTGAGGCTCTGAAACCCCAGTCTATCCCAGTTGGTTGGACTCATTCATCCTTTCTGTACTGAACCCCTTCTTGATTTTTCCTTCTGAAACTTGGAAACTTCCTAATTTATATGTTTTTAAGTACAGAGCTTAGGTTGTACTGACTAATTGGAAAATTATACTTGTCCCAGGTCTATTGGCTTTGAGACTTATTACCTGTGTTTGTCTGTCCTGTAAGGACTGGAGCTCAGGGTCCCAGCCCAGCCTTGTAGGCCTGGCCCGTTTAGTTCAGTTTAGTTCAAGGTGTTTGTTGAGGGGAGCGGCCTTGTCAAAGGACTGCCAGGTATCGGTGATGCCATGGCACTGCCGGAGGGTGCCCAGCCTGACTGCCGCAGTGAGCGGTCCCGCAGTGGGGGAGGGTTGTGTAAGTGCTGGGCAGGGTGCCCAGAGACTGTTACGAGCATCCACCTGCTGCTCCCTGACCTCCTCCCTCTCCACCCACCTGGCCTGTTTGCTGACAGAGCTGTGCCCAGCCTGAGCCAAGGAGTCCTGATGGGCTACAGTACAGTAGCATGATTGGCCAGGTCAGGGAAGGAAAGCCTATGACCACCCAACCCAAAAGGTCTGCCTACAGAAGAGGCCCAGAAGGGTCCAGACTGCCAAGGACCCTTCAAGGACTCGAAAGAGTCTGAAGGAGCGTTCCCTGGCCAGGGCCTCCAGTGGTGCCCTTTGTCCCTACAGTAAGGACATGTTGGAATCCAGAGCGACTGGCCCAGGTGGGGCAGGCGGACACTTGGCTGCATAATAACTGGCAGGGCCACTCAGTCCTCCCAGTTCCGCTAAGACAAATCACTCAGGGGGCAGTGGCTCTTGGCTGGCGTCACCTGTAATTACCTTAATGGGGCAGGAGGGAGGTGCAACATCTGATGGCCTAGGGGCCCACCCTGCTCTGCCACATGCCTGCAACTGGAGGAAGGGAGGCTGCAGATGCCAGGTTTTCCTTGCTTGGGAATCTTCCTGGAACACTGAGAGGTCTTTTTTTCCACCCACCCTTACCTAACTCTTCTTCTTTCTCCAGTCAGCCTCGGCTTCTGCCCACCACAACCCTACCGGGAACCAGAGGCATCAGTGGCTGAGCCCCCTTCTTGCCCCCTGGCTTTGGACATGAGCCTTCGAGACTCCAGCTATAGTGTGGCCCCAGGGCCCTGCGTGGTGGCCCAGCTACCCTCTGAAGATGTGAGCCATCTGACAGATCCCCAGAGCAGAGACCAGGGCTTCCTACGAACCAAGATGAAGGTAATAACTTTCATTCTGTCTTGAGGTCCAGGGACATGGGTAGAGACCCATGTGTAACCCACAGATACGACACAGGAGGGACAGATCTGAGTCCTGGATTTTGACTTTTGCAGAGACTCACTTAGCCAGAGCCCATGGAAGAAATAAGGAGATTTGAAGTGACAGTGTTTAGTCCTTTAGAGTCAGGATCAGAAAGTGGTCGAGTCTCATTTCTGGCCACAAAAGACAAGAGGGCTGGAGAAGAGCCACCCCCAGTGCATCTTGCAGAGTCCTATATGGGCTGCATGGAGCAAGAGGTCTGAATCAGTGGGGTAATTAGCATTCCTTACAGCATATGGCAGTGACCAGGCAGTGCACGGGGCAGGAGCAACCCATCCCCCACCCTTAGCCATGCTCAGGAGCACCCACCCCATGAGGCAGCTCAGGTGCCTGCTGTGAAGGAGAGGAAGCAGCCAGCTGACCTGGCTGGGTCAACGCTCCCTTAAGCCGCAGGGCCTGGGAGCATCTGCCAGCAGAGAACTAGCTGAGAAGGCTGTTCCTCTAGGGCAATCCCTCATGACCAAAGACTAGATATAGCTGGAAGGAGGGAGCTGTCCCTTCCCTTCATACCTGCAAAGAACAGGGGCGAATAATGGGCGGTGGGGAGAAGAAACAGACTTAGAGGACATGAGAGGCTGTGATTGGTCACTGCCTTTCAAGCTGCACTCATCCTCCCTGCCAGCCCTCCCTGCACCCCTCAGACCTCTACAGCTAGGATAGCAGAGCACAGCACAGGACAGCAGAGGCAGAAGACTGGGTCCTGTTCCAAAGGATCATAACTGTCAAGAGACAAGGAATTCCCTAGAATGTCAAAAGCAGGCTAGAGGGAAGGGCGCCCAAAGGAAGTGTGGTGCGACAGGTGCCCCGGGGTCTCAGGGGAATTGCTGGTGTAGGCCCCTGACAGGGACCAGGCAACCACTGGATGTGAGCAGAGTTAAGGATAAGGCCTGGCCACACGGCCACACCTTCATGGTCACACCTAGGCTGCTGCTGCAGCTACTCGGAACAGTACTGGGTAACGTCACCAGGGATTGCTTCACTTGACCCAGACAAGGAGCAGAAGGGTGATAGATATGGAGTAACACCTGCATCGGGCAAGGAGTCGTGACATTAGTGTTGCCACCATTGCATGAACTTGAAACTTTCCATAATTAAAAACAAAATGATGGAGGTGGGGCTCATCCGTCTCCCAGTCCTCTTCCAGAGGACCTAGGTTCCATTCCCAGTACCCATAGGGCCCCTCTCACTGTCTGTGATTCCAGTTCCAGGGGATAAGACACACCTGCTTCTGGCATCCATGGGCACTGGACAAGTATGTGGTGCACAGACAGATACACACAGGCAAAAACACCCATAAACATAAAAGATTTTTTTACAAAAAGAAATAAGAATACTTCTAAGGCTGGAGATGTAGCTTCGTGGCTTCACATACACAAAGCCCTGAGTTCAACCCTCAGCCCCACATAGACCAGGCATGATGGCACGCTTCTGTAACTCCAGGATTGGGAGGTAAAGGCAGAAGGATCAAAAGTCCAGGATGACAGGTGTGTTTTGGGAACCTAATAGGAAGTTGAACCAATAACCCGAGGGTCTTTGCAGCTCCTCTTTGCAGATGTCACATGCCATAATGGTGGGCCTGCTTTTCTTTAGAGTGTTGTGAAGTGCAAGGGGGTGACATGTCTGCCAGCCGGTAGTCCCAATTTCTAGATATACGCCACAAATAATGTCTTCACTCACAGGTGACCTTGGGGGACAGTCCAAATGGAGACCTTTTTACCTGTCATATCTGCCAGAAGTCCTTCACCTACCAGCGCATGCTGAATCGACATATGAAGTGTCACAATGACGTCAAGAGGCACCTCTGCACTTACTGTGGGAAGGGCTTCAATGACACCTTTGACCTCAAGAGACATGTCCGAACCCACACTGGTAAGTAAAGTCTGTGGCTGGAGGGATGCCTCAGACCCTCCTGGGACCTGAAGGCACACCCTGGAGCTTAGAGCAGAGCCCTACATTCATAGACAAAGACTCCTTTGACTCCAGAGTCCCTCTGCCAGTCAAGTGTCCTGACCTTTCTATGTGTAGATGCTTCAGACAGGCTCTGTAGTCTGTCAGGTCCTAATGCTGACTCCTGTTGTCTGCAGGTGTACGGCCCTACAAGTGCAGTCTGTGTGACAAGGCCTTCACCCAGCGCTGCTCTCTGGAGTCTCACCTCAAGAAGATCCACGGCGTGCAGCAGAAGTACGCATACAAGGAGCGCCGGGCCAAGCTCTATGTGTGTGAGGAGTGTGGCTGCACCTCTGAGAGTCAGGAGGGTCATGTCCTGCACCTCAAGGAACGCCACCCCGACAGCCCACTGCTGCGAAAGACCTCCAAGAAAGTGGCTGTGGCCCTGCAGAACACTGTCACATCCCTGCTGCAGGGCAGCCCCCATCTCTGAGCAGCACAGGCCCTGGGAAGGACCAGGTTCACTTCCCTGCTGCCCAGCCATTCACCTTCCTGCAACCTCTTGCTAGAACACCAGTGATCTGGGACCATGCTCCCACGCCTCATGTGCACAGTGAGAGGCACTGACTTCTGCTCTGTGTGGGAAGTCTGTCTTACAGGCAGGGCCCACTCTGCGCTTGGGACCATGGGTGCCTGTGTCTGGGCAGGGATGAGGCCAAGTGAGTAAAAAGAGCTGCTTATAGAGACAGGCCCTGACTTCTTGCAGCAGAACTTTGCAGATGTTGAGTGGGATCTTTGCTGAGGGGGGGGATCCCGAGTACAAGATGGGCAGTGAATCCCCATGAGAGCAGAACTGAGACACCAGCAAAGAGCATCCCGGCAAACAACTGCGGCGGCGGTGCTGGCAGGGGCCCTCGCGCCTGCAGGGCTAACTCTCAGGGTTTCAAGGGCTCTCTGCCCTTTCATCAGAGGCCCAAGTGTGAACATCCATGTGCACGTTTGTGTGTGTGTCACACTGCTCTGTGTGTGATTTCTTCATGTGTGCATGTGTGCTCACGGTCTTTCCACATTATCACCTGGTTTATAGGAAACCAACCACAAGGTGCCAAGGAGGTTTTATTTTCTTCTTTTTTTTTAAGATGACAAATGTACAGATATTAATATATTTTGGTGCCCACAGTGAGACTGTTTAGTAAGACTAAAAGGGGAGGAGCTGGCTCTTTCTCCCCCCCACAGGTACTATTTATCCTGGACATTTCAAACCTCCTCTGTGCCTTGGATCTGGGGTGGTTATGCAGATCCACCCTGTTCTCTGAGATGTTTCATTAAAGACCTTCCTCCTGCTTTGCCCAGAAGATGGACTATTCCTCCTGTCCTTCCCCTAAACAGTGCCTTGCCTCTTTCTTCCCACCCTGGTTCCACATCCTTCTCAGGGCTCCAGTCTTCCTGCTAGGCCTGATGACACCTGACTGGGTGTGGCCCGAGGCTGAGGGTGGGCCCTACTGATGCTCAGCAAGCAGCCGGGATGGCTATTTGACACCAAGTCCAAATCCACATCTCAAGTACTAAGGCAAGGGCAACAACAGGCTGGGAGTCTAGGTTTTTTTCTTCGCTAAGTCAAAACTTCTCGAGTAGCAGCAAAATTTGAGACAGAATAATAATCCACATACCAGAAACTTTGACAGGCTAATAAAACTTCTCTGTTGTATTTCTTCTGTTTTCCAAATGCCTTTGGACCAAGTGGCTCCTCTGAGGGAGCGGGCCTTCATCCACTGGTATGTCTGGGTATCCTGCTGAGACAAAAAAAGGGCTATGAGTCAAAGGGGTGTATGTCTCACGCATCCAAGGAGTTATAGCCAACCCACAGAGAATAAGAGACTGAGCCCCAAGTCAGGCTGGGAACATGGCAGGGGGGGAAGCCCCTGAATGCCAAACAGTGCAGCCGCCCCTGCCTTCTCAGTGTAGGATGAACACAGTTGCGGAACTGACCCAGCTATGGGCTCACTCAAGAGAAAGGAAGCTTCCTAGACTATCTCCGAACTAAGACTGGACCACTCCGAAGGCTTGTTTCATTTTTCCTTAGCGTGTCTGGCCTGCTGCACTCTGAATGTAAAAATCACCGTGTCCTGAAGCACTGTGTCTACATCTCTGTGTCTGTAAGCTCGTTGTCAATCGTAACAATCGTAACATTGTAACAATTGTCAATTGTTACAATGGGGCCATTGTAAGCTTTGTGTTGCCTGTCTTGTTTTATAAGCTGCCGTCCAGCTAGTAAAGTGAGAGAACTAATGTTTTCTGTATCTCTGGGGCTTTGTTGTCTGTGTTTTCTTCTTGGACCTTTTTTTCCTTCATTAAAACAATTGCTGCTGCTTTTTTTTTTCTTTTTTTTTTTTATTCTTTTTTTTTTTTTTTTTTTTGGTTTTTTGAGACAGAGTTTCTCTTATAGCCTGGGCTGTCCTGGAACTCACTCTGTAGACCAGGCTGGCCTCGAACTCAGAAATCCACCTGCCTCTGCCTCCCAAGTGCTGGGATTAAAGGCGTGCGCCACCACTGCCCGGCACAATTGGTGCTTCTTGCCAAAACTTTTCCCTTCTCAGTTGCCTGAGTTTATGTCAAGATAAGGACCTGACCTAAGATAGGCCATGGAGACAAACATCTTTAATCCCTGCACGCAGGAGACAGAGGCGAGATGGATCTCTGAGTTTGAGGCTAGCCCGGTCTACAGAGTGAGTTCTTGGCCAGCCATGGTTACACAGACCCTGCCCTGTCCTGAGCTGGGATTGTAAAACTTCTTGTAACGTCTTAAACCGGTGGATGAGAAGCTGAAGGTCAGCCTTGGCTACTCGGAGGGAACAGCTAGGTCACAGGTGGTCGCATCTGCTACTGCTCTACCCTGCTCTAGAGGATGGGAGGAAGGGGCCTTTCTTGGGATTTCTTCATCTGCCTGATGCTTAGGAGTCCCTCTGAGGGCCTCGGTGGGCTTAAGGCCTTCAGCCCTTGATAAACACTTGGGGCACTTAGCCTCTTTCCAGAACCTTGCCAGGGTTGGGCCAAAGGAAAAGGAACCACGCCCAGAGATGGGACACAAACTATCGTTTCCAGTCAGGTCCTAGGGATGATCCCACACATAATCCTTGTTGGTCCCTTGCACACTGGAAGCACTTTCCATAGATGACCACATCTGATTCTCCAGCTAACCTCAGGTAGATTCTGTCAGTGTCTCCAAGACCAGTAAAGGGAAATCTTACAATTAGGAGTAGGGTCAGGTTAGCATCATCTAGCCTGACCTGTGCCCAGAAGACCCTGCACACTGCCGGCAGAGAGCTGCACATGGCACACTTCAGACAAAAGTCCATAGTTAGGCGATGGGCTCCCCACTAAAAATGACAATACAGCTTTAAAAGTGTGGTCTCAGCTGGACATAGTGACATACACCCATAATCCGGACACTTGGAGGCTGAGGCAGGAGGATTCTAAATTGGAGGCCAGCCTGGGTAGCAGGATTAGAGGGAGAGAGCAGGGCCTGAAACTCAGTCCTTTGATATGAAAAGAGGCCATGGCTTCCAGGTCTAACGGCCAGTCCTAAGCCGGCAGAACTGGATGGAGACGCTGGTGAATAGACAGGATGGAAAGAAAAGACTTTGAAGTATGGACCAGTTGGAAGGCTGCGCCTGGCTCTCAGAAAGCAAACTAGCAAACAAAACAAGATGGGGAAGTGTCACTGCCACAGCTATCAAGGCCACCTTTCACTCCCAGCTGGTCCCCAAGGTCAGTGGTGGCAGAGAAAGAGCAGGGCAGGAATCAGGAGCCTGGGTGTGGCCCAGCCTGTCTGTGAGACTCTCAGCAACTTCTCAGTTTCCTTATCTATAAAATGTGTGAGTCCTAAGTTGGAAAGTCCCCCTCTGCTCTGATGAGTCTGAGGCCTCACTTCAAGATCCCTCTGAAGAAGTGTCCTGACAAATTACAATGGAGACAAGGTTGCCTGAAGCTGGCAGAAGCTGGCCCACTGAGGAGAGGAAGGCCAGGGAAAAGTTGTGTTACTAGGTGGAAGGAAAGTTTCTTTTTTTAAAAAAAATTATTATTGAGAAACCCTGTCTCGAAAACCCCAAAAAAAATTATTATTGCTTTGTTTTTCAAGACAGGTTTTCTTTGTACAGCCTGGTAATACTGGAACCAGCTCTGTAGACCAGGCTGGCCTCAAACTTAGATATGTCTGCCTCTGCCTCCTGAGTGCTGGCATTAAAGGCATGCACACACAACCCATTACCAGCTCGGCTTGTTCTGTTTTGTTTTGAAACACAGTCTATGTATCCCTGGGTGGCCTGGAACTCTGTGTAGACTAGGTTAGCTTCAGACTCACAAAGATATGCCCACCTCTGCCCCCCGAGTGCCCGGACTAAAGGTGTGTGCCCCCACTCCCAGATTTTTGCATCCATCCCATATGTGTGCTTGCTATAGGTCCCAGGCATCACAGGGGTATTCAGACTTGGTGATGAAAACCTTTATCGACTGAGTCGCCTTGCCAGCTCGATGTGGCCCTTCCTGCCACATTGCATGCACACTGCACGCACACATGCGTGCATCACAGTCCACACAGGGAGGTTAGAGGACACCTTGCAAAAGCCAGTTCTCTCCTTCCATTGTATTTGTCCTTTCTTCAGCTGGCTCCTACCACAGAACCTGGGCTGGTGAGATACCAGGGTTGGATGGATGCTGAAGAACTTAAGAGCCTTCCCAGCCCTGTCACGGCCTGACCATGGGACGGAGGGATGCTGCCCTAACAGGGCTGCTGGCTGAGAAAGCCGTTGTCAGAAATCACTACACGGTCTCAATCCTGATTTCGTTCAGGGCAAAAAGAATCTCCAAGGCTCCTTCACACACAGTTCCATGAAACTGGGTAAAAGTACTGTGGCCATTGCTTCTCGGTCTAACGGCCATTCCTAAAAAGGCAGAGCTGAAAGGAAGTGCTTGGGAACGGACAGGAGGAGAAACAAACACTAGACCGTGTGGCTCAGACGGGAGGCTGCGGCTGGCTCTGTTTGGGGTGGTAAAGGCTTATGTGGGAAGGGGCTTCCATGATCCATCCTCTGGGTCTACTCCCCCAGGTGACAGCAGACCCCTAAGCTAAGCTGTCCCATCCTCACGTCCAAAACCAACAGGCTTCCTTCTCACCCCTGCCGCCCCCACTACATTACTGGATTCTCTTTGGACACCTGCTCTCCCGCCCAGGCCTTCAGGCAGAAGGGCCATGCTGGCTCTTCTGACCCACCAAGGTGTTCCATACCGCCTTGTGTACTCTGACCCCTCCTGCAGCTCCCTGGGGACATCAGGCTGGGAGCAAATGGGAGCCATAACAGAAGCAGAGCTAGAGGACTGAGTCAAGTACGGAGACCCAGGCTGGGGGCGGCAGGTATGATACACACGGGATCTCCCTTGAGCCAGCGGAATGATTCAACATGAAGAGGCACCTGAGTTCAATCCCTAGGACAAACACAATGGAAGGAGAGAACTGGCTTTGCAAGGTGTTCTCTAACCTCCATGTGTGCATTGTGATACGTGCATGTGTGGATGTGTGTGTGTGCACATAAGTAAATAAATAAATAAATAAATAAATAAATAAATAAATAAATGTAACTCTAAAACCACAAAAAAATTCCTAGCTATCTTTGGGGTCCTAGTGTTCGTTAGCCAGTTTTCTCCTAATTTATAAACCTGGATGAATGTGTGCTTGCTGTTCTTCCCTCCTCCTTCTTTATCTCAGTACACATAATTTTCCACACGGTATTTTTGGACTGTAGTGGACTTGTTACCTGAAACCATGAAAAGTTGATCCCTAGAGGGAGGGGCTTCTATAAAATAGCTGCATTTATTCTGCCCAAATCAAACTTTTAAAATGCAACGAGCCCTTGTCTCAGAACATCAGTAGGAATCTTCCAGGTGATCAGAGTTGTGAGTGGTAGCGGCCAGGTCACTATGCCACCTACGCCGATCAGACACACCGATCACTGTGTGTTTCACTTTCAACGGCAGACTTGAGGGAGAGCTGACAGTGGACAGGACCCCTTTCCAGCTCTCCCCTAACCCTTATTGTCAACAGAGAAGAAATCCAGGCAGCAGCTGCCCAGAGCGGACACCAGCTGTGTGCCGTTGAGTATCCAGGGTACTAAAGATGCTGACTGTCATCACAAGAGTAGAAACTATTGTGAGACCCCAACATTCATGTAGCCCAAAACAGGAGTTCCTGCGTCACCAAGAGAAGCTGTGTGTCACTTTCTGTGAACTCTAGAGTTCATACATAGCACAAACAGTCCTGTGACCACAGGTAATCACTACTTCCATTTATTGAGCTCCTACTATGCGCAGGGCCGCGGGATGCTGGGGTTTGTCTCTGACATCACCTCTAATCCCTACAACAATCTGCAGAGGTAGCTATTATTGTGGTTATTTTTAGACAAAGAACTGAGGCTCAGGGAGATGAACCATCTTGCTCTAGGTCACACTCGTGAGTGAGCACAATCTGAGCTGGATCTGCTGCACTCCAAAGTTTGGCTCTTGTCTCTGGAACTTTGCTGTTTCTGAAACAAGAGGTCCTCTCTGTTTCCTTCTGATGGTTCTGTGGCCACCGAGCACCGTACCAAGTGTGGTGCAGTGGCTTTGAGGGTCCAAAGGTGAATAAGACTCCTTCCCCCCCCCCCCCGAAGTTCACATCTCTTGGGAGAAGCATCTCAGTCCTTGCACAACAAAAGGAATGGGCCCACATGAGGTGAGCAGAAAAACAGCAGGTGTGCCAGAG